GATCAACCCAATTGTGTTTATAATCCATTTAATGTTCTATGTAAAGAATACATCATTATGTATTCAGTACCAGTCTTTAAAAAGGGCTACAAAGGTGTGTTCATGAATAAGACATTTATTGGTTAATTCTGAACTGGTAAGCCAACATGGACTCATCTCACAAACTATTCTAACTCAAGACTTTACCAAAATATACTGGGTTCTAAACTAAATCTTAAACTTCATTTGGTTTATTAAAAAGGCAGAACATAGTGAAAAAACCTAATTTCCTAAAGCCAAAGTCTTCAAATAGCTTGTTTGTCCAACACATGGTCCACAACCCAAAAATATTCAGCTTACTATTACACACATAAAGAAAACTAGAAAATCGTTACACTTTAGAAGCTTGATCTAGTGAAGGTTTGGCATTTTTGTTCAATTATCAGAATAGTTCCAATTCATATTCTGTTGATCAACAACACAGTTAATAAATAGTGGGCCACAACTTTATTCACTGGAATAGAATCAGCCCCGATGCTAACCTTATTAACGTGACCAGGTATCTACCATGACATGACCAAACCACATTCAATACAGCTTCTTTCTGTTACTTGAAACTTCAGTGTTTCTGCTATCAGATATTGAACATTCATTCTGTAATATTGGGCTGCCATCTTTGTTTTTGGTGCGAGTGTTAAAACCGGTCCGTTCTACACTGGAAGGTAGGCTATTAAAGGAAAATATAGAGCACTAGTATCAAGCAGTACTTGGTATAAGCAGATACCCTGAGTCCATGTACCAGAATCAGTACATCCGATTACCTTATTTTTCAGATTTGTCCCATGCCTCCAAAGACCTAAAGCTAAATGTGAGGTCTTTAAACAAGTATTTTGTACAACGTATTGAAATAGAATTGAAACAACGGTCCAGTAATGTCTCATACACATTTTTCAACCATCATGCATTACTACACTACCTTTTTGGTTTGATGTGTGGGTCTTTTAAGATGATTTTTGCTGAAGAAAGTGGCACAGAAGTGTTATTTTCGGCTCAAACATCAAAGCACTGAATGTAAAATATACCTTTTTAAGTGCCTGCGACTTCAGCTATATATATATTTTTTTTTCTTTGTGCGTCTTAGCATACTTCCAAAATGACACATCGTATGAACAACAAAGAGGATCCATTAGCGCTGGAAAGGAGCCTGTATTTAATAAAACAATACCAGTCTCCTTCAAGAAGAATCAAGACAAAAGAAACGGGACACGTGTATGGAAAACAGGCCGTAACACACATAGACTCCAGGCTCCCTCAGCTGTCTCATTTGCAAAAGCCCATGATTAATTGAGATGTATAATAAATGCTGAGAGGATTAATTCAATCACAGAGATGGCGAGACAGAAGGCTTTGACATTTGTGGGAGTCAACACCTTAGCCCAGCAAGACAAAAATATCAATTATCTTGACTTAGGGAAGTCACTGGTGCGGCTTTAGCCTATAAGAAGGATTTTGTTTTGACAGAGACCTGATGACGATAAGAAAATTGAGCCAGTCATAAGCAGCCATGTAATCTTCCTGCTCCATTCTGATTCCAGAGGTAACAGCTGTAATAGTGGTAGTGGATGAAAAGCTGTTTGATGTTCCCGACTGAGTATGAGGCTGAAGTCACTTCAGCTTTCCAGCAATCTGACGACAAACAGCTCTGGGTGGAAAGATGAACTTGTTGTAATGGAGTTTTTGGTGACAGTGAGGAACGGGGAGCATGGGTTGATAGTAATGATGTTATCAGTCACTGTGTGATCTTGCACTGATAGATGAAGTGCCTGCTGAACCGTCGGAAGGCAGGGAATGAGTGGCAAACATGAGTGCTGTCGACATTACAGGAGCACATCGCTGATTTTTATAACTGCTTACCTAATGTGCTGGGATGTGGTCATTTCTCAAGCGTCATCAAAATCATTACTGTAATCAGAATCACTATTTTCTGCAGTATCAACGTGTGTTATAGACAGACCACTGACCACAAACATATAGAAGTCAGTTTAACAAACACTGACGAGCAGACTACACCCATAAGTCTACTGATTTAGCACACGTGAGAGGAAGCTTTCCTCTTGAATGATGCAAACTTCCACGTCAACGAAAGACACCACCAAACCAAAACATCCTGTAAATTGATAACAGAACAAGTCAAATTTGACCACAACGCCTCGTACAAACACACAGAGTCACCCAGTTGTGTGTGAGCTACATAGGGTTTCCGCAGTATCTCACAGTGGAAGCACCCTGCCTTTCCTGAAATAAAGAGAGTTACAACGCTGGTGTCTGTAGAAATGATAACTTTTAATATTAGTCGGGCTTCTGCTGATTAATTATTAAGCAAATAAGTGTTAGTTGATAAAACGTCCAAAAATAGTGAAAGGTGAAGAGTCTATTGTGGTAGATATTCAAAGATATTCAATGACGAATGAAAAATAAAAGTGTCAAATCCTTTACGAGCCGGAGCTCGAGAATAGTTGGCATTTTTTCACTATTCTTGCTTGGAAAAGGTGTGAAACAATCAATCAGTCATCAAACATCGACTGCTCACTGCTCTAAATATTGAGCTTCAGGAAAAACTAGCAGAGGCTCTATACATCAAACAGCAGTGGCCTAATGTTAATGAGTGAGGCTACTATTTAAACCATCATCTAGAACCTACATTGATAACAGTCAGGATGTCTTTGATTCAGCTCAGCAGGTGATTGATTGTGTTCAAACACCTCCAATAATCAGCTTCCTGTCAGAATCCCTGCTAAATGTTACTCTGTTACTATGTCCACTGAGGATTTCCATAAATCTGCTGAGAAATCCAATCATAACCAAAAGTCACCCTGTCAATAGTACATTTTTGCATGGTGACAATACAAACAACTATCAGTTGAAGCAGCATGACTTTCCATGTTGCTGTGACAGAAATGTAAAGAAATATAGGCTAAATAAAAGCTCACTCCATGACAACCCTATACTTCCTGTTTACATCACCCAACACATACATCATTTCACAAGAAATAGGAGTGAAAGAAAAGAAAATATGCTTTGTGTGTGTGTGTGTGTTTATACAATGCTAGCACATTCTAACAATACTAAGGCACATAATGTCCCACCAAAATGGCTCTAATGTCCCTGCGAACACTCACACCCTATTCATTCATACACAGATTAACCACATGTTGAAAACCTTTGAACAAAATCTATCCCTTTCCACCTGCGTGTACACCACTGCTATTTCAAAGGGTCTTATGAACCTAAATCTGTGTCTTTGGGATTCACATGCATTTTGCAGGAGATTTCCACTGCTTCTTGAGCATGTCCAGCTTTAAAACATTGCCAGGAATTCCCAATTTTAAGATCTGTGGCACTATTCAGCTGCACAATGAATCTGGAAGTGCATTATATTTCAAATGCACATGGACTGATGGCATTTGGACCCAAATGACAGCAGACCTGTTTACAAAAGTCAGTATCACACACATGCTTTGGGGTTAGCAGAAGATATCAAACACGGTCAAACACAAGCTGCTGGCCAAGACTATTAAAGCTGAATAAGACTTTTTCATTTCATTTTCATGACCTTTATTTAACTCTGCTTGAAATCCGATCTCCACAGCGACCTTGCTCTCGTCCTGGCACACTACTAGGAATAGGAAAACCTGCTGTCGTGAATTGCAATTTGTGGAAGCCTCAAGGCTAATTCATGCTGATTTTCACTGCATACAACATGAGCCACTTGAAGAGCAGCTTTTCAATTACCGCTACCAGTGGCTGCAAAACACAGAGAGCTTGTTCAATGGATGTTACACCCTCAACCTGTTAAAAGGCAGACTGCAGATGATTAAAATGTACATCTGTGAAACAATGCTTACTGCTGACTTCAACAAGTCTGCAAAACCCTCTATTTCACAACCACAGAAAATGGTGACTCCTCAGCCATGAAATGGGAAGTGTAGGACATAAACCAGAAGTACTACACAGTCAGATGCGTATGCATCCTCAAGGTAATGGGTGTATCCATTACTTGAGTTATTAATATCTCACAGCACACAATGGGAAACAATTGTCTGAGTAGAGTGTTTGACAAGTGAGGATGAAAGATAGATGTAGATCCCTGTTGATTGTGTGGGTTGAGTGTCACTCATCTCAATGTGCCTCTCCTGAGACAATAATAAAGGCGACACACACTCATGCATGCTTCATATGGAGACTTCACACACACACACACATAGACACACACACATAGACAGAGAGAGAGAGAGAGAGAGAGAGAGAGAGAGAGAGAGAGCAAATATTAACTAAACTCTGAAATAGTGCCTCAGATCTTATTTTCTATTCGGTATAGAAATAGATGTGTTTGAGGTGAAGCAAGTGAATCCGGTTATATTTAGACACAGACAGTGAAAGAAGTAGACATTTCGAACTGTTCCTCCATCATTACTATGATGAGAAACATCTTTAACGTCCACCGCAAAAGAAAATGACAGCGACTGTTGTTTGTTTTGTTTACCACGGGAAGCGAACTGACAACAACAACAGGGTGCAAATAAGCAGACAACACGCACATATTCGCCGTGTTTTTTTTTTTTTGTTTGTTTGTTTGTTTGTTTTTTACTTAAAAGTGACAACTAGTACAAGATATTCGACCAAGAAACAAGAGACAGACTCGCCAGCTCAGAGTCCACCTTGCACGGACTTGCGCAACAAAGTTTCCCCGTTAGGTCCGGAGCGGATTGAATACGGAAACACAAACACAGCTCAGTTCCGTAACTAAACACAACATGAAAGCATATGCTAAGCTACTCCACAGCAGTAATGTCAACTTCGGCATATTCAACACACCGCCCGGGCGAACGACAATACACACACACACACACACACACAAAGATTGTTTCCAGCACAGCGAGAACAGCTAACTCCAAAAAAAAAAAAAAAAAAAGCAGTGTGGGAATGCTGGGAAAAGAAAGAGAGGGACCGCCTGTACTCACACTGGAAGAAGAAGAAGAAGAAGTCCGAACAGTCCCGCAGGAAGAAAAAAAAAAAGCAGCCCCACCGACCGTCCTCAGCGCTCCACAGCCAGAGCTCCACATCCAGCAGTCTTCATTGCCTCTCCTCCTCCTCCTCCTCCTCCTCAGCTCGCCTCCTCTCCACAGCTGCTGGATAAGTTTGCTGACGTCAACCAGCACTGGGTCTCAACCGGCGGAGCTCTTTGGTCGCAACTTGAATAATACATGGAAAAGGAGGGGAAAGACGCCACCGGAAAGAATCGGGGAGGCAGGCATCCACATTAGAGGCTGCCCTTTCACGACAATGACTATATTCATTCAATAAAACCAGGGGAGAGAAAGAAAAAAAAAAAAAAAAGATGTGAAAAGGTGAATAAAGTCGACATAATGACCCGCTTTTTCTATTAACATTTTAAGATGCACATCAAGTAGCCTAGATTTCAGTGTGGCGCTCTCTTGCTGGAGAAAGTTATGAAGCAGCCTCTTTGTGCCTGCTTGGGGTTTCTGCATTTGCATTTGGGTGTCAAAATATCACGTTTTGTGCCACAATCTTTGCTTTTTTTGTGCATATTGAGGTGACCCACAGCCAGCAAAGTTGCAGCTTAATAACGGCTCATTAGTGCAGGGTAATTTCATTTGTACTGTACTTTAATAGTTTTGACACAAGCTTTACAGATGTGTTGAAGACACTTTTGGAGAGTTCAAGTGCCAAACAAAGCCCTGCAGCTAAAGAGGGAGCAGACTCAAGGCTTTCTAGTTTTGACTGCATGTTCTAGGTTACTTTTATAACATCATTTTAAAGTTAAATTGTTGTTAAATTATAATAACCGAAGTGAGGGGCAGCTGTAATTTAGTGAATTGGCTACTTAATGTGAAATACTTAATAATAATAATTGATAGCTCCAGGCCTTGAGGAAAGCAAAAAGACAACTGACACATTGCATTACATTATAATCCATTTCTTATAATGATTCAAAAGAGAATAATTCTCAAAACAAAATCCAAATAGGTAAATTGCTGTATCAATGATGACAGAGCGATTGGCTTAGCACTTTAGAAAGGCTCTTGTTTAAAGGATTTACAAGAAAATTAACTTTTTTTCATGCCAGCCCAAGTCTGGCTTAGATATTTCACAGAGGATTATAGAGCCTGATCTCCAAGGAGCTGGCAGACAGTCAGATTCAAATGACTTTCCCTCGTCTACAGATTGCTAAAAATGTATCAATATCACAGGAGAATCACCCCTAGGTGCTGTCACAGTATTTACAGTCTCTCCCTCTCTGACCAACTTCAGAGACTCTTTTGATGACATTGCAGATACAGTAGTTGTGTCTTTGCTTCCACATTGATGGATTAAACTGTCCGTGGTGATAAATAATATGAATATCTGAATTATATATTACACATAACTTCTATAATTAGCATTCCTATCTTGTATGATTTTTCCTGTTAAATCAATAGGCTTTTCTTCAACTGCACAGTCTGGATTTAATCCCGAGTGATAACACAAACCTATCTCCTAGACATACACGAGCCTACATATACTACAACACTACTAACTTCCAAATGTGTTTTCCTTGAAAGTGAATAATTAAGTTCAAGTTGGTCTGGGATTTAGGCAGCAAAAGCACTTTGATTAAAGGTTAAGTCTTGTCACAGTCTATATTGTTCTTGCTGTCAACAAATCCCACAAAAAGACCAAAACCAACAAAAGAACAATACTCTGACAAATCCAAAGCTTATTAGCTTTTTATTCTGTGCCACAGAGCTCCATTTTTGTCCAAAACCAATCAACAATGCATCAGTGAGCCACGCCGTTGCACTGGGTAACATGTTCCTTCATCACCACTGTTTACTACTACTGGCACTGTGGTTTATTATGAGTAAATCCAACATATCCTACTACCATTATTATGCTTATTAGAGAACCAAATGTGAATTTATCAGCTGCTGAAAACACTCCCCAAAAAAGAGACTTGCTGACACCATGAAAAGACCAAGTTCTGGTCTTTTTATTGAATTTTTCACAATAACTTTTTACAAAAACTTAGAATATTGCCAGCCTTAGGTTAGGTTAGGCCAGGGGGAAATTATGGTTTCAGTTAAATGCTAATAAAGTGGCTACACCATGTCTTAAAATCACTGCTGATTGTTACCATATTTAACAAAGGCCTTTCCCTAACCTATAACCAACTGCTTTCAGTGCCCAAACGTGACCATAAGAAATGCTATGAGCAGGTATAGCAAGATATGTTGTAGGGAAAAAAGCAATCCATTGCTGTGAACATTTTGCAGATACATTCGGCATAAATATTTTGTGACTTGGCAGTAATGTTCATTAAAGCATTTCCTCTTCAGGTTAGTCCATGTTAGAATTTAAAAAATGTACTTCATGTGGCATTGCTTTTGTCTAATATATGTGGTGTTGCAAATTAGTAGGAGACTGGGTTTGAATACAATTACAAGATGAGTGGCTCTTATTAACATGGTAAAAAAATCTTTGATTGAGAGATCAGCTAATGATGCCACCCTGCAGCTAAAAAGTAATCCTCCTTTTGCCTCCAACAATTTATTCCTGGAACAAAACCCTGGGGCAGGCAGATACCCACATATGGTACACTATATTAGGCATGTAAATTAAAGATCCAACTTATTTATAAGTGATAAAGGCTGGTTGCACTTGTGGTCATGTATTATACTACTGTAGATATAGTGATGTATGAAAACAGCATCATCCACTTTCTCCCAATTTACTGTTCTTTTCGTCAGTTTCACAGTGCATGGAACAGAAAAATATGCTAAGAGCTCCGTGCGTTAGAGATGCTGTCTCCGCTGTATAATGTCAAAGCCTGCAATTTGATTGTTTTTGACATGTTTTGGTGTATAGTCAGCACCACAGCTACTTTCAGGCAAATATTCACACCAACTCCACGCTTTGCATTAATACTTATATAAAAAGATTCTGAGAGTGGATTTTCCAGTTGCACTGAAAGTCTTGGTTTATGCAACGGCAGCTTTGTGCTACCTCTATTTCATATTTGCAATCCCATTCTCAGTCCATAACAGGGGTCTCTTTTTCAGAAAATACTCATCATCAATACCTCAGATCTATCCTTTTCCATCTGGTGAGATGAGGCCCCACATTAAGAGCAGAGCTAAATATCCATCATCGTTGCAGCTCATCAGCGTAGCCGTCAGGAGAGATCACCATTCAAATGATTCATGTAAAAAGGTGCACAAGCAGGGAATTGCCATGCTTTCCTTTTAATACTCCTTTAACTGAGATGATAAGGAAACAATCTGTTTTTTGGACTTAAACTGAGAAAAAGAGCCATAATTTCCAGTATCAAACCACTGCAAGTTTTATGGCTTTGATTCTGGTATGCAGGTTATGTTTCTGTCACGCATCACTGTCTCTTTGTAGAATGAGCATGCTTTGTTTACTATCTTTCTATATTGCTTAGATCCTTAAACTTATGTTTTTGAGAGAAACTCTCATAGCTTCAAAATACTTTTTTGAGTCCTTCAAAGCGTTTTAGTAAATTTGTAAAGTTTTTGTAAAGAGGAAGTTTGGCTTTCAATACTAAAGTCTTATACGCACAGAAAAGGGGGTATTAACCCTTATTAAGCATAAAAAAAGGACAAACAAAAAGTAATTATTGTTCCTTAGAGCTTCTTTCTAAGGTGCATTGTACCAAAAGTACACCAAGTCAGCTCTACAGTTTATGCACAGGGTATTTCAAATTCAGCTGTCCTGTGATCTGCTGCTGCAATAATTGGATTTGAAATCCATGCAGCAGCATTGTGAGCTACGGGTTGTTTCAAAAGTGGAGCGTTACACTCTGTATATCCGATCTCATGAGAAGATGAGAGTATTGATGTCACATAAAGCAGCCATTAGGGAACTGTGCTTTGGCAGTCTTTACCCGCTTTGTGTGATGTTATTGGCTAAAAATTTCACCATGATTGCATGCATTGTCATGCTTTACTCACATCAATTAGGGTACCCCTTTCTCTCTTTTCCCTCGTCTGGTGTTCAGGATCTAGACAGAAGGGTGAGTCTGAGAGCAAATCTGGCATTAATACAGAACTGAGATCTGTTCAGACTATGCATTTCTAAATTGTCACAGCATGGTTATTATTAAAAAAATGTCTCTAAATATAAATGGATATGAGTGCAAAAATGTGATCTTGCCATGATTGGAATTGACATCATGCTGTCTAGAGTAGGCTGTAGGTTAGGCTTCACCCTGAGTTGTAAATTTACTGATTGGAGTTATTAAAATTGGAGCTAGTAATATGATTGTCTTTATAGACAGCAAAATGAGTGCAGAGCTACATGCCTAGCCTGGTGGCAAGATCCTAATAGCTTCACTAGGCGAAGAAATGGCCCTCATGAATCATTAAAGAATGGAGAGTTACGACAGTGGCAGCAGCAAAGTAGAAGACCGAGGAGATTTGATGGAAGCAAGACACTATATCAGGATAAACAACATCATAAAACTCTATATTCAACTAGCAGGATTTTTTAAATTTGTGTCACAATCAGTCTCATTGCATGAACTTGTAGCTTTGTGATGCAATGCTATCATGTTGTTAAGCCATCATCATCAGCTATTTTCAGTTCTGTTTTTTGCTAATGGTGTAACTGAATCTAACTGAAATAGTCGGGTCAGACCATTAAAAGCAAGTTTCATCAAAAAGACAGAATGTCGAAGCTGTCTAAGGTGAGGAAAGTGGGGAACGAGGGTGCTAAGGGTGCTGCAAAGAAGAAGTACTTAGATATTTGACTTAAAGCCCCTACGAGGAACTTTTTTTTGTTTTGTTGATTCCGGCAGCTCTATGTTTATGTCTATGTTTGTTCATGTAGGACATAAAGAGGCACAGGTTTAAGAAAAAATAGCAATAATACAGTGTAAAAAGTATAAGCATCAAATTAAAGAAACATAATGTAACTATTCTGCCTTAAACTAATCTGGGGTTAGGGTTAGCCTCAAAGTCATTTTAATGCTTCACTGACTTGTAATAGGGCAAATGATGCTTCTATCATTCCCACTCTGGGACCCGAACACCACTTCTCTCACTATGTAACTATGTTGGTGTCAGGGTCAAAGAACAACACTGAAGGCTTTTTTCAATGAAAAATAAATGATAAATATAATGCTGGGTTTCGCA